TCAAGGTATCATGTTGAAAGAACCTGGTTTTAGGCTTTCGAAAGCTCAGATAAACAGGGCTTATCATCGATAAGACTGAGTCACTGTTGGAAGGTGCTTACCAACAGGGGGCTCAACTACATGCTCCCAAATTTCAATGAGTCTCTTTTGAAAGTACGTACATCTCAAGCCCAGGTATTAGAGAAGTGAGACAAATGTGGAATTTTTCCTTTTTTATATTCATGGCTTCTTCCCAAAAAGTTTTTGCTTGACTCTTTTTGAAAACACGTAATTTGTATGTTTTTACTTTTGCTTCTTAGAGAGCTGTTGAGGGTGAGGTGGTGAGTGAGCTGCTTAGAATATTTTATTTACATTCCTTGTGCTTATCTTTGTCACAGTCTCTGTTTGCTGTTGGGGTTTCTTTTTTTTTTTTTTTTTTTTTTTTCTTTTTCTTTCACCATGATATAGAAACATACCTGTTCGATTCCTTAGTGAGAGGCCACTTTGCCACTTCCAGGCTCTGTGGCCACAGAGATAGCAGTGGATATTGTGCTGGATAGGAAACTAGTGAATGAGCCCTGTTCTTTAATGATGTCTGAGCCCCGTGTGCCTTTCACAAATCTTTTTAAACCTTCTCATTCAACCTCATTAATTTTTTTCTCATTAATCTTTAATACAGACATCTAATTTAGATGAGCCAGAGTGAAGAAAATTCTTCAAGAAAACATTCCTGGAACTTCCTAATAGGACTAAGGAGTCAATTTACTGTATCAATACCTAGAATCAAAAGAGGGGATTCTTTCATGCTGATATAGTTCATATTTGATGAGGCTGGTTTGAGAGATCTGTGTCCCAGGGGAGTGTGGTAGAGCTTTGCATAGACCAGTCACACTCTGAATAGTGGACCTTTGAGAGTAGCAGCTGTCTCCGTTGCTCAAGAAATGACATCTTTGGTCAGGTTTGAGTATCATTATCATTACCTACTTCTGTATTCCCCCAAAATGATGCAGATATTTTCTGATTTGAGGTTTAGCTGTTTGACCCAAATCCAGCACAGGCAAAGGGACCTATTGCCCCGAGCAGAGCTGTGCTGGATAATTTCTCATTCAGTCTCACAAACCGAGGCAAGTTCATCTGCTCCCTTGAATGTTAAAACTGTTGCACCCCACTTGAGCCCTCACTGGGAGCTTCTGCCATTAAAAATATAATAGAATCAAAAGGGATGTGAAGATTTAATTTACCACCCTAACTTTTTACAGTGAATAAATATGAATTCTTCTCTTTTCACCTTCTCGTCTGCATAGCAGACTTTTTTTTTTCCCTTGGAAGGACTGATGAGAGTTATAAATTTTTAAAGAGGCGGGCTTGAAACAGACTCCTTTCGGAAAAGTAAAGGGGACTTTTCAAAACCATAAACCTAACTATTGTTTTTTATTTTTATTTTTTTTGAAATAGAGATGAGATTATTTCTGGCCTTGAAGTTTTAAAATTTGTATGGGTTTGTAGATTGCCTTAATTACTGTGGTGGATCCCTTGAAGTAACAAACCCATCCATGAAAGAGTGTGTCCCATTCATAGGAACAAGTATTTTCTCAGAGCAGATGTCTTCAGTGAGCTACCAGATGCATTTTCTGGAGGCCTGGATAGGAGAAGAAAGATGAATCAAGACTGAAGTTAGAAGCAAAGGAGGTCAACATATTCTTAAAGGTCTCTGGTGGGTCAGGTACGATTTCCCATGCCTGTAATCCTAGTACTTTGGGAGGCCAAGGCAGTTGGATCACAAGGTCAAGAGATCGAGATATCCTGGCCAACATGGTGAAACCCCATCTCTACTAAAAATACAAAAATTAGTTGGGTGTGGTGGCGCATGCCTGTAGTCCCAGCTACTCAGGAGGCTGAGGCAAGAGAATTGCTTGAACCTGGGAGGCTGAGGTTGCAGTGAGCCGAGATCGCGCCACTGCAATCCAGCCTGGCAACAGAGTGAACCTCCATCTGAAGAAAGAACAAAAAGGGTCTCTGGTGTCGTTATTACTAGGATAGAGTGGAATGTGATAGGCATGTACAGGAAACAAGTTCTAGCAGATTCTAATTGTAAAGTGCACATGTAATCATCTTCTCATGAGGCATTCTATAAAGGTTCCAATATAATCATCTGCCTGTCTTCACTGAGATTTCTATTTATCCATGGCAGATCCAGAAAATACAGAGCTTTTTATTCATATAGCTGGATTTGGGTTTTGCAGCCTGGGCAATTTTTTTCTGTCCCATTACTTCCTTTTCACCCTCATTGTGGCCAGTGTCTGTGCACTAGCACTTCCACAGAGGGAGAAACACAGCGAAGAGTAGAGAGGACCCCAGATCCTAAAGAAACTTTCTTTTGGTGTTTCCTGAAACTTTTGGCTGATAAAGGTGCTGAAGTTTTTAGCTCAATACTATTCAGGGATTTTAGGAGGCAAAGTCCTTCCTGAGGATTATCTCACTCTCATTCTACCTAGTTCTATCTGGCAGATCTTGTCTTGACTTGGAATGTGGATTTTTCTAGATTTTTTCTCTGTGGTGATGCCACTTTCACCTTTCCCCTGAGAAATGAGACTGGAGAACCCTCTAAAATGTCAACCGGAGACCATTATAATGGCCTCACCCATCAGGCAGTGTGAAAACTGGCAAATCTGACATTGTTCCAGGCTGACCAAATGGACAAAAGGAACAAGGGACAGGAATGGGAAGATACCAGTAACCTGTTTTTGTGGTACAGGCACTGTGTGTGGCACTGTGCTGAGGAGCTTTATTTTAATCATCTGGCTCATTTACTTCCTGTAACCACTTTTATCCCCATTTTAGAGAGAAACTGAAGGCCAGAGAGGTGAAGTGATTTGGCCAGGGTTGAGCAGCTAGAAATGAGCTGAGCTGGAGTTTGAACCAGACAGTTTGGCTCCAGTCCTTACTTCTTAAGCCCTTCACCATAGCGTGGAAGGATAAGACAGGCACAGTGCTATATACATGTTGGCGCTATTGTTATTAATAAATACAGTTAGAGCAGTGACTGTCTTGTGGTCTCAGAGAGACCGCTGTCCTATTTCTTGTTGAAGCAATGTGTTGACCAAGGGCTACCCTGTTTTTGGTGGCCCAGATCTTTGGTGGCACATAAGCTGCTGTTTCCTATTGAAGTTAAAACTCACAAGGACCACCGAAGAGCTTTTTAACTGAAGCACGTGGCATTTATCCAAACTAGAGACCTTGAAAGCTGGTGATTAGGTTGCATCACGTACACATTCATTTCGAGTTTAGACAAAAAAATAATGGGGAGAAGGAGGGAGGAGGTTGGAGATTTTCAGAGCAGTTGCTTAGAAAAAAGCAATAGCTTTTATTACAGACGCACAGGTTTCTCACTAAATCCACTCTCGATTTTGTTGTTCTTTTCCTCAATTGTAGTTGAGTAAGCACAAAACATTAGGCCTTATTGTTCATAAAGAAAACTTGGAGTCATCGTTAATCCGAGGCCTTAGTCTCCGTCAGAAGTAAAATGCTATCTTACATCATTGAGTCTTTCTCCAAGTTTGTCAGCAAATCTCTACCAAGTGATTTTCCAAATCCTAGCCTGGGAAAAAAAACTCTGTGCCCCTTGGTTAACCGTGGCCTGATGGCTGTTTCATGTTGACTGTACTGAGTTATCTTGGAGTGTTAGGCAACTTTTGCATTTTGTTTGATGTTCCAGATTAGGTCCCTCCCATACCCCTTGCACTGACCCCATTGTACCATGAAAATTAGCCCTGGAGGAGACTCTGGGAGAATCAGCCTTACAGCTTCAGGGGTACTGGAGATCAGGCTGCCTTCCACAAAGTATTTTATTCCGCGAATAGCAGCAGTTCAGGGACTTGTTAGTGGTCAGCAAATAAAACTAGTCCAGAAACACTCAATGACTGCAGTGTGCTTCTTTCAGCCCCATGGACACAAATTTAAACAGAGGCTTTATATAAGTAGAGCAAGAAGAAATAGTTGAGGTGTTTGTCCAAAGACCTCCTTGAAGTCTAGTGGAATTAGTCTACTATCATTTTTGTGTTTACTTAAAAAAAAGTTGTGATCCCAGTTTAGCTGCTAATCAGTGATAAAGCATTAGCGTCTTCACCAGGTCCAAGCCTTGAAGCCAGGGATTGCAAAAGGAAGGTGTCAGAGAAAAGACACAGACGTGTTTTGTGACTTGGGCATATTTCAGTGCTTCTGGCATCTCGACGTGCTCTTCCACTTAATGCTGATGCCACATGGATCTATCATCTTGCCGAGTTCTTCTTTCCCATGCCTGATAGCCCAGGATTCCTTCTTCTGTTTAAACTGAGTTCTTACTGTGATGAGGGAGGCTCCAGTGATAGCCTTATTAGCCAGGGTGTTTCCTGAATCAGAAAACATTTGGAAAAAAATAAACAAACAACAACTAAAAAAAGCCTATCTGTCTCTTTATAAGTAATTTTGACTTGATTGCTTACTAGCAATGTTTCAGTTTAGTTTTGTAACTTCTCTGAGCTTTGCTTTCCCTATCTGTAAAATAGAGAGATGTGCTTTGGAGGGATTTTGGTATATAGTGTTTAGTAGGTGCTCAATAAATAGTACCACATCTTAATGCTGTTAGGGTTGGTGAATGAAGGAACAAATTCGGAGTTTAGATCTGAGCTTCTGTCTTCTCTTCTGTCCACCTTTCTTGTGCATCTACTAGGTCCCAAGCACTATGCTGGGTGTGGGTGAGGGTAAGAAGGACATAGTTGTAAACTTAGAGGACTCACAGTCCTGTCTCTTCTTGTTCAAAGTTGGGCTTAATATCTATTTCCTAGTATGATTGTAACTTTCAGAGTTTCTGTTCATATGAAGAAGATCCCTACCTAACTTGGCTTTATAAGCCAGAACCAGAATGTTAATGGCCTGCTCACTGTCCATGTGTCTCTGTCTCCTCACTTGGAGAAGCTCCTTTTATTCCTGATGTGTAGGAAAGTGTGATCCATGGAATGCAATTGGCTTTACAGTTGTGGGGGAAGATGATGGAGGTTCACATATGATAGTGGGTGTTCGGGTATGGGTGGGCTGGGCTGGGGTGTGGGGCCATAAGTTTGATCACTTGGGTCCCTGCTTTAGAGGGACCTGGGTGTGATGATCCTGAAAATGTTCTGAGTTGTCATACCTCCTCTAACTCCTTTAGTTTCTGCAAGGCAGTGGTCTCCAGGTCAGGATGTAGTGTTAGGTTTTTCATGCTATAAATGTAGTAAGGGAATCATGCCGAGGTTGACTGTTAGGAAATCTTTTATATGCTATTGAGTTAGAGCCCACTGCTCCAAAAGAAATTTTACGTAAGTGAAGTCATTCTAAAAGCCATCAAATGCACGTTTGCTCCCAACTATCCACAGTTGGAAGGTTAGGTAGTGTGGCAAGTATTCTCAAGCAGGGCAGAGAGAAGGGCTGCTGTGATCAGGGTCCCAGAGCAACATTTCCTTCCACTCCAGCACTGCTGCTACTGGACTCTCATTTAATCAGGGATTTTATTGGTGATTTTTGCTTTTCCAGAATGCTCATTTCCAACTGTGGAGAAAATCAACAAATACTAGCTGCCATTCATTGCAGGCTTTCCAGTGGTAGCATCAGTAATAATAACAATAGAAGCCAACTTTTCTTAGCATTTACTGCATTCCCAGCACTTACCTGTCCTCCCAATAGCCTTTGGCAGTAGAGCTGGAGGTCACAGCCAGCAGACTGGTTGTGGGGTATGCACTCCTAAGCACTGTGTCTCTTGTATCATGGAGCAGACATTTTGTTTTATATGGAAGGCATATTTAATCCTTGAGAAAATTCGAAGGGGCAGAGATTTTGTTGTCTCATTTTTCTGATGACATAACAGTTGTCCAGAGAATACAGGTAGCTATTGCTTGAGTTCATTAACTACACATCTTCTCTCTCACCTTCTTCTCTGCTGATGAAGCCCCAGCCTGATCAGGCAGCAGATAGTCATGCCTTGGCCTGAGGATGGGTGATCTAGCCCAGCCAGGTTAATAATCCCATACTGGTCCAAGGATTGTCAGAGACCAGTTTTTAACCACTGGGATATGAGAGGATATCTGCTAAGGATGCTTTATCTTCATGAATAACAAATGAAGCTTCTTGGGGAAATAGCCTTTTCCCCCTTTCCTGTCTTCTTGCTGTCCCGAGCATAGATGCGACATCTAGCATTGCAACAGCCATATTGTGATTCTGCAGCAATAAATGATAAGCCTTGAAATCAGTCTGCTAAGAAGGCTGCATGATAAGACGGAAGGGCTGGGATCACTGAATGCACCTGAACCTACCTCCTAACCAAAAGTTATATGAGAAAAATCTGACCCCCTTTTACTTATTTATGCCCACATGTGAACTGGGACTTCGGTTACTTGTATCTTTGACATTCCTAACTGACACAGTTACTAAGGGACAAAAATTCAGATTCAAACCCAAGCCTCCAGATGTGACTCATTGTTGAAGGTCGAATTGTGTTTCCCCAAAAGATGCATCGAAGTCTTAACCCCTGGTACCTGTGAATGTAGCTTTAGTTGGAAATAAGTTTTGTGCAGATGTAAGCAAGTTAAGATGAGGTATACTGAATTGGGATGAACCCTAGAGCCTGTGACTAGTGTCCTTATAAGGAGAGATTTGAAGACACAGAGGAGGCACAGAGAAGGCTATTGTGAAGATCAAGACAGAAAATGGAGTTAGGCACCATAAGTCAGGGAAAGCCAAGGATTGCTGGCAACCACCTGATGTTAGAAGAATCGAGGATGTGTTCTTCTCTAGAAACTTTGGCTCTGCTAACATCTTGATTTTGGACTTCTGGCCTGCCAAATGGTGAGGGAATAAATTCCTGTTGTTTTAAGGTATGCGGTTTGTTGTTATTTGTTACCACAAGTCCTAGGTAGCTAATACATCAATGAAACCATATAACCTCTTGGCTATGTTTGGTCACTCTTCTTCTGTGATGTAGGTATCCCCAACTTTCATGTACTGGGACAAAATACATTTGTCTATATGGAATGATTTTTTTAGTACTGAGTGTGAATTCATCTGCTTTGGATTGAAAAAAAAAGTGAAAACAGCAAACAACTAACCTATCGCTTCTTTCTCCTTTATCTCCTTCTGGTCGACAGCATCCTGGGAAAAGGCGGCAAACTTTGAGTGTAATGTGCGCTGTGTTGCTCAGGGAAGGTCCTCTGGAAAATATGGTGCATGAGCTTCTATCCTGAAGATAGTTCACTTTGGTGATGAAACTTATGGGCTAGAAGGTGAAACACACACTTTGAGGTGGACCTCAGTGAAACTTTTCCAGACAAGCTGAGAGCAAAGGAAGACTAGTATTTAGGATTTTATTCTCAAAACAAACCAGGTTGTCAGAGTCCCTGTACGATCTCTGGGTAGCAGCTTCTGTGATCTGCCTTTTCCTGAGTAGGAAAACCTGTAGGCTGATGAAGGAATGTATTTCAAGTCGACTCCCAGGTCAGCCTCATGGTATGTCAGGTTGATTAATTTGTACCTGGTTTTGGTGTTTTGTTTTGCTTTTTGCTTGGAAATTGTATAAATTATTTTAGTGAAGAACCTATTCTTATTCTTGAACTCACTCTGAAGACAAAACAAACAAACAAACAAACAAAAACACACGTGTCATAATACTTGTTTTTTTGGGCCAGCTTGTGTTTTTTGGTACAGCCAGGAAGGTGCAAATGTTTCCAGTCCTTCTAAGACAAAGGCAGGGAATCTATCCGAGTGCAGAACTGCTCTGCCAGTGTCTCTTTCTTAGAATGAAGAGTCATTTCTTAAAATGCTATTTTGCTTTTTATTCTCTTCTCCGGAAGGAATATCCCCCGTGTGCATGGGAGCAGGAGGGGAATGGAGAGTTACCAGGGGAAAGGAGCTGCATAATTGTTAGATCTATCTTAATCCTTTCATGACAAACTTTTCCTCAGAGCTGCTTATAATTGTGAGTCTGAGGATAAATTCACAGGTTCACCCACTGCAAGCTTTGATGCTTTTGCATCAGGAATGGGCCGACTTTTTCTCAGGTGAGAGTGAAGTCCTGCTGTTCAAGCCACCTATAATGTGGGCAGTAGCAATTGCTGTTTCTAAGTTTCTGAGGTTCTTTCCTAGGAGCTGAATAGGGCCTTGTCCTGGTGGTAGCCATTTTGCTTTTGGACATAAATTCTTTGTAGCTTAATATATCTGTTCCTAGAGGTACAACAGCAAAGTATCACAAACTGGGTGGTATTGGTACTATGGATTGTCCCACCATTCTGGAGGCTGACAGTCTGAAATCAAGATGCTGGCAGGGTTAATTTGTCCTTAGTGCTGTGAAGGAGACATAGCTCCTGACTTTCTCCTAGCTGCTCGCGGTTTACTGGCAACCTTCGGCATTCCTTGGCTTGTGGCAGCATCACTCCAGTATTCATGTGGTGTTCTCCCTGCATGTATGTCTTTATGTCCAAATTTCCCCTGTTTATAAGGAAACCAGTCATACTGGGTTAGTGGCCCAGCCCTCCTTACTGACCTCATCTTAACTAATTACATGTACAATGACCCTATTTCTAAATAAGGTCACATTCTGAGGTACTACGGGTTAGAATTTCAACATGTACATTGTGAGGGGATACAGTTGAATCTATAATAGTGTAGAATTTTCTTTTGGGTATCTGTCACACACCAAGATATTTATCCCTACTTGACCAGCCACAAAAATAAATAAATAAATAAATAAAGGCAATCAGAATTTACTCTACCTCTGCTCCATGTCATGTCTACTACTTTCTTGATTGTTAAAAATTACAAAATAATGTCTGCTTTGGTTAACAAATCAGTTAGTTTAGTATGTAAAGAAGTTAGTAATCTTGTGCCTTTCCCCATTCCCAATTCTACCCATGAAGGAAACCCATATTATCTATCTAGTGGTTATTTTTCTACTTTACAATGTTTCATGGGTATCTTTTCTGGTTAATATATATGTAGCTCCATCTCCTTCCTTTTAGTACCTGTGTCGAGTTTTGTGGTGGAGCTGGATTGTAATTTATTTACTCATTCTCCCATTTCCCCATGAGGGAGTATTTGGGTTGCATTAATGTTCTGTTTTTTTTTTCCTTGTAATTAATACTGCTATAGTTTTTTGTGTATGTCCTGACCTACTGGTGCCTGTATTAATTTAGGCTGAACTGCCACAGTTGATATGGCTGAATCAAAGAGTATGCATGTTTTAAATTTTAGCAGCTGTCAGTGAGGGCTTTTATTAAGAGTTATGCTTTTCGATCAGAAATATATATGATTTTGACAAAGGGTGCAGAGAAGATAGTTCACTAGTGTCTTAGTTTGCTTGGGCTGCTATAACAAATTCCTTAGACTGGGTAGCTTATAAGTTACAGACATTTATTTCTTATGGTTCTGAAAGCTGGAAGTCTAAGATCAAGATGTCAGCAGATTCAGTGTCTGGGAAAGGCTTGTTTCTGGTTCATAGAAATGGTGCCTTAATGCTGTGTCCTCACATGAGGTAAGGGCTGGATGAGCTCCCTTAGGCCCATTTTGTAAGGGCACTAATCCCGTTCATGAAGGCTCCACTCCCATGACCTCCCAAAGGCTTCATCTCCTCATACTGTTACCTTGGGCATTAGGAGTCTCACATGAGTCTGGAGGGGAACATAAACATTCAGACCATAGCAACTGGAGAAAGGATAACAGTGTTTTCAACAAATGATGCTGGAACGATTAGATATTCATATGCAAAATGACAGTGGCAACATCAACAAGCCCAGGTACTTCAATCCATTCGTCATGCCATTTGCAAAAATTAACTCGAAATCGGTCATAGACCTAAATGTGAAACCTAAAGTTATAAAACTTCTAGACACAAGCAGCAGAAAATCTCTGTGATTTTGTGTGTATCTATGTAAACATCACTGTACTCGGTGGTGAACATATTCACTACTCTCAAAGTTTCTCTTGGTTGGGCAGAGATTCCTTAGAACAATGACAAAAGTATACTCAACAAAGAAAAAATTGGACTTTATCAAAATTAAAAACTTCTGCTCTTTAAAAGATATGGATCAAAGAATGAAAAGGTAAGATACAGGCTGGGAGAAAATACTTGCCACTCGTATATGTATTAAAGGATTTAGACCTAGGATAAATAAACTGTCACAACTCAGTCATAAGAAAGATAATCCAATTTTTAAAAACCAGGAAATGATTTGAACAAAGAAGATCTATAGATGGCACAAAGAGATGTTCAGTGTCATTAGCCATTCGGGAAATGCGAATTAAAATCATAATGAGGTATCACTGCACAACTATTAGAACAACTGAAATTAAAAAAAGACCAAACCTGCAACCATGCTAACTGTTGGTGACAATGTGGAAAAACAGGAACTCCCATATGCTACTGGTGGGAAGGTAAAATGATTTGCGCAGATTAGTAGTTACCTGAGGATGGACTTGGAAGTAGGGGCCTGAAAGAGGACTGGGGTAAGTTTTGGGGGTGATGGATTTGTTCAACATCTTGATTATGTGATGGATTCACAGGTTTCTATGTACGCTGAAAACCAACCAAATTGTGCAGCTTCTTATATGTCAACTATATCTCTACAAAGCTGTTACAAACGTGTACGTGAAATCCTCATTATATGCCAGGCATAGTGCTAGATGTTGGGAGAACTAAACAATATACTGTTTCTGTTCTCATTCCTGAGAATTCTCTGTCATTTTCATTTCCTTTTTACTGGAAATTAAAATTCTAACCCAGAATATAAATAATGGATTCTGTAATTTTTCTTGGCATTCTCTTTTAAAACATTTCTTCGTTTAATTCTTGAAATGGCATTTTTCATCCATCTCAGTTTGCCTAAGGATCTTAGTCAAACTAGTGGTTGAACAAGAGAACAAATCCAGACCAAAGGGTGGAAAGTTCACGCTGCCTTGTTGATTCTTCCTCATTCTGGATGGCCCTGATTCTCGTTCATGCTCCCAGTTCATGCATTTTTCTCCTCTTTCTAGCATGTTGGTGTTCCAGCTGACTCTCCCAGCTGGCTCAGTCCTCTGAGGCCTTTTCCAGCCCTGCCTGTATCGCAGTGTGTGGCTCCAGGCCCCATGGCCAGTAGACTCAGGAGATATTGCTGTTGAAAGGGTAAATTTCTGGGATGTGGCCCCTGTGACTGGCTGGGCTGCCTTCATTTTTTTTCCTCCCTTAACAGAAAGCATAGAGGGAATCAATCATGTAAAACCATTAGTAGGTCTTGATTCTAGTTTGTGGATTAAAGTAATGTGCATAGCAGATGTAGGGTCTGGATTCCTTGGGAGACAATTGTTTTTCTCGGGAATATGGCAACTAAAAACTAGACAGGATAGAATAACTTCAGCAGTGGCCACTGACCCTCAGTAAAAAGCTAATGAGAAACATTCGCAAAATGACTTTAGTAGTTTAAAAACATTTTGCCCCTCAAGGAGGAAAACTTGAGATATTCAACTCAACCTCTTTTAAGGTCAAGGGTAAGGAATATAAGACTTTGTTCATTAGATATGCAAGGAAACGACGTGGCACATCACCCTGTTGAGGTGATGAAGGCATTGTTAATTACCTGGAACAGCAGGTGTAAAACAAGAGGCCCCTGTGAACCTGTACCTGTGGTTATCCTGAGACAGCAAGTAAAATACTAGACTTCTGCTTCTAACTCCATTTTTTGGGGGAAGGAAAGGAATGAAATACATTGAAGTGAGAGACGTCACGTGGACAAGAAAGCCAGGAAGAGGGCACATTGGACAGTCAGAAGGGCAAAGAATGTGCACACAAAGAGGGAGAAATGGTAGGATAGAGGAAGTGACACAAGCAATTAGCACTGTCCCTGGCACCTGTGTAGTCCACAAAAATTATCTCTGAGCTATTGAATGCAGTTGATGGATACTAATATGTTATCACTTCCAGCCAAGACATCGCATGCTCACGCTGCTCAAGAGCGGAATGCTTTGGTGGTTCATCTGACTGAATTGGAAAAACAGTGCCCTTCAGAGGAAGAGCTTGGATCATAAAAGCAAATCTAAAGCCACAGGGGTGAACAGTTTGGGAGATAATGAGAATATTTCTTTAGGTTACAAGTCAGACCGCTTGTAACCCATTCAGACTATTAAACAGTGGAAAGGCCTTGGGATTTTTAATTAGGGACCCATGGATACAAATCTTGGCTGCTTCACTTATTAGGAGTTATCTCAAGGTCTCGGATATGTATTTTGTATTTGTATTTTCTCAACTTAAAAATAAGGATATTATTATAACACTTAGCTCTTGGTTGTCATGAATGTTAATGGGGATGCGGACTACAAAGAGCTTAGCTTAGTATCTGGCACATCTTTGGGAGTCATTTAAGTACTAATATCTTCCACTATTTCAGATCCAAGTGTACCCTAGGAATAAAGGCACAGAACTTTAGGACCATGAGGATAACAGAGGTTTGCTGTTTCCCAAAGTGTGTTCCATGAATTCAGTCAGTTAGTTGCTCATGAGTCTTGCCACGGAAGTTTCAGCCTTTAAATAATTTGGGGAAGCATTAGGTGAAACAAAGTCAGGCTGATTACTTAGTGCAGGACTTCTTGTAGCATTTACTATGCCATTGCCCTGGGAGTTTCCAGGTGGAGGAAGAAGACAGCTTTAGCTCCTTTGTAAAGAAGTGCTCCATTGTCCAGGGTGCTTCAATACTTGAACTCCTTTAGGGTGACTAACTGGGGGCCTGAGGTTTGGCTCCAGCTTGCAGAAATATTTCCTTTGGCTCCTTCAGTATATAAAATCTTTACAAATTCATTTCCAGGATTTAAAAATTAGAGGAATTTATAAGAAAATCTGGGCGTCTTAATTCTTTTGAAAAATGCCAGATCGCGGAGGGCCTAAATTTTCAAATAGTGACCACTGGGCAGCTGCCGTTCTATCTGGATGAGACATGCCTCCTGCTGGTCCTGGGCTTTCCTTTTTGAATCCCACTGAGTCACACAGCCTGCTGCGCCCTGTGGATAATTGAACGGGGACACCAATCTAGTTCAGCTCCTTCATTTGGCCAATGTAAAAGCTGCCTCTCAAGTTCGCTAGTGTTGGAATCAGAACCAGGTCCTTGGTCTTCTGACTCTTAAAGGCCAAGGTGATAACTGATTTTACTTGTCTAGCACCATTGTTTGTTCTCCAAGCACAGCTCTGGCAGCCCACTTGCAGGTGCCTGAAGGCCAACTTCTGTCCCCTCTCTTTTGAGAGCCATATGATTGGAGTTTTCATGATTCAAGTGGAGAGCTGTGGTCATCGCTTCTCTCCTGGACAAACTGATGCACAGGAACTAGAAGTGTTGCTGCTTATCCTATTTTCTAATCTAGAGCATCTGGGAGGGGTTCCAGGCACCAGTGGGAGGCTTCTTCTACTTTTAACTAAATGCAGATCACTGTTTCCTACGTATCACATGCCAGGCAACTAAAACTTCTCATTGTTATGATATTGGCTTATCTTGGGGACTTTTACTGCCAAACATTGAGGCAGATTACTTCCAAAAAAGGGGGACATGTAGAGGGTGGAGAAGGATTTTTTAATTTAATGGATTTCAACATATTCTTCACAGATTATCAGCCAATAGAAGAACCATTCAAATGCTGTTTCAGAGAACCCAAACTGAAAAACATCCATAATGGTGGGAATACCTCTATATTTAGAGAATCCCCATTTCCACCAAAAAACAAAGCACTTTGGAGACATTTTATGAGTCATCCTGGGAGCAAACCTCCTGCTGCTTTCCCTTTCTGCCCCAGGTGTTTCACCCATCTACTTAACGCTGCCCACTTTTTGCAGTTACGGGATTGTGATGATTTTTAGCATGAAAGTACTTGGAATTCACTCACACAGTGGCTTGAGCTATAAAACAATGAATTAGACCTCCCACCCTCAACGCATCTACTTGGTTCAAGAAAGGACAGATGCCGTGTGAATCCTGGTCCCCGAGATGTCCATCAGCTGTCTGAGTTTGATGGTGTCTATTATAGATTTCAGACAGTTGTCTATTGCTCTCCTCCATTTGACCCCCTTCCCATAAAAAGTGAACCCTATTGATAACTATTTGGAAAATTGCTGCACACTCTAATCACAATGAGATTTAGTGTGTGTACTCTCTGTCTCTCTCATCTGTTTTTCCTGTTGTACCTTTTGAAACCAGAAATTCATTCGAAATCATTTCTGCTCCATAAGCTTATTATTTCCGCAGTAGCAGAAAACTACTACTGATTCTGCCCACAGAATTTATAAAAGTCCTGGCCAAACTACAAACTCAGAAAATACAGATACACATTAGACCCCTATATAGTTCTGAAAAGATTGGCTTTTGCTTAGTAAGGGAAAAAATTCACATGCTTTTGAAGTACTTGTCAATAAAAGAGAAGCATATCATTTAAACATTCAAACAAGACCAAAATAAAACCCTTTGAACACCAGTCATATAATGAAAGGAGAAATTTAATTGTGCCTGAAAACCTAGATTAGAATTATAACTAAGGTTATAACAGCCTAAAGCTTTTAGGTCTGAGCTTCCTAGCGGCCCAAGGTAAAAGAGAAACATGATTAGTTACATAACCTTCATAAACTAAAAGAAGAATGTATGCCAGCTCACTTGGAACCCCGACATTTTTCTAACTTGCAGCCCCTGGAATTTATCTTGTGGTTCTTTATATGGGTCTTCTAACACAGACTCGGGTAATAGCATTAGTTGTAGATTTTGCCAAAGTTGTCCCTAGAAGTTGAAAAAATAAACAGTTCAATAGGAATGTGAAGACTGTTTACGTAGAAGCAGAAGTGGACATCTGTGTTTTTTTGTTTTTGTTTTTGTTTTTTTGTTCAGCTTCATTTCCCATCTTCTGGTAACAACACTCTGATTTTTCTTTGGGGAACTATTCTATCCCTCTTCCGGTAGGGAGACTCCATTCAATTTTGGAGGTTTTATTTTGTTGTTGTTATTAATAAATGTGCCATTCTTTAGCCAAAGGGACTATATGTGACCCAAACTAGATTGATTAGACACTTTCTCCCAGAAGTTGGAATCCTCAGCAGGGTGACCAAAAGACAAAGCAGTCCGCGATGATAATGCTGTCAACTATTTCCGAAGATGGTCTGTTGTGGTGCTGCACAGACCCTGGGAGTGGCTGTATCCCTCTCCTTTCTGAGCTCACTCCTCTCCCTCTCCTTTCAATTCAGTGTTACTCTAATATTTTCTCTTCATGCTTAAGTGAGCCAGAGTTGGTGTTTATTGCTTGCAACCATAGAACTAAATTATACATAGGTACAATTTCCCTTGAACCAATTAATGTTCAGCCTTAAAATTTTCTTTCACAAAAGGTGATGTGTGGGGCAGAGCAGATGTCTGGGGAAAAGTGAAGGAGCCGTGCTTAAGCTCTCCAAGATACCAGAAA